ATAATTGTTTTTGAATACTGGTAAGGTTTTCTGCAGTTTCCCTTGCCTATACAACAAATGTTGGTGTTCATGTTGTAAGTCGGCTGCAGACGCAATAAATCAATAAATTTTATTAAATAATATTTTCATAAATTCATTAATTCCTCACAGCTATCCTATATATCATTTTACAATACATTCCTATATATATTTTATTCTACACTTCGTTATTATAAGGGTCCTTAATGGTCCCCAACATTTCTGAGGCATAGATACTTCACTAGAAGGCGAGAGCTGCGCGCGCACACGTGAGACCACGTGACACTGCTTTTCGTCCCTCGATCTAACCACACTGCTCCGGTGCTGTCCGTGACATGACAGCAGCGCAATTAGCAGAACGCAAATCAAAGATTGAAGCGACATGGGTGCAGTTCGACGAAGTGCAGAATGAGATCGAGATGCTTCAAGATTCAGCAGAAATGGTTGAAGCGCATTCACCCGAGCGCTCGGAATATGAGGAGACGTATTATGATATCATTGCCAGATTTCAAGAATTGATCATCTCACGCAGTGCAACCAATCTTCCAGTGATAGAGGCACATCCCGCAGCTAGTCGTGCACCAGCTTCAGCAAATAGTTTAAAATAGTTTAAAAGTTCCCAAAATTGGTTTACCGTCCTTCTCAGGAAGTTATGAGGGATGGTATCCTTTCCACGACACATTTCAGTCGCTCATACATCATGACACCTCAATTACCGCAATTCAGAAATTTCACTACCTGAGATCTTCGCTCAAGGGACAAGCTGCAGACATCATTCAATCACTCGAGGTCTCGGCGGAGAATTACAATGAGGCATGGCAGATGTTAAAAAGGCGCTATGATAAAAAACGTATAATCATACAAAGACATATTAGAGCTCTATTCGAGCTACAATCAGTGTCCAAGGAAAACTTCACGAATCTTCGCCATTTAGTGGATGGAGTGTTAAAGCATCTGAGAGCGCTAAAGGCCATTGGACGCCCCACTGACTCATGGGATGACGTCATCATCCATTTGATAACCAGCAAATTGGATCACGTCACAAATAAAGAATGGGAAGACAACATTTCAGACGAGGATATTCCTACTATACAACATTTAACTGACTTTCTGGAGCATAGATGTCACACCCTCGAAGCTGTCAGCCGAAAGGCCCAATCTGCTTCCGTTTCACAAACCAAGGCCAATCAGGCAAGGGTCTCATCTCTCGCATCCTCTGGTGTTGCGTCGTGTCAGAATTGCCGAGGAGATCATCAGATATATTCCTGTGAACGATTCTTGAAGCTTTCTCCGGAGGATCGTCTCAAGGTTGTTAAGGAAAACAAGTTATGCTGGAATTGCATGAAGTTTTCGTAATAAATGTAAGGGATTGTCAAGGGAGGCAGCAAACATGCCGCGCTCTTCTGGATTCAGGATCGCAATCCAATTTTGTCACGGAGGATCTGGTACGACGTCTGGGTCTTCAAACAAGGTCGATCGATATATCAATCGTTGGAGTCAACAACTCCTGTAGCAGGATTCAAAAAACAACTCAAGTACAATTGAATTCAAGGCATTACGCATTCAAAATCGTCATAGAGTGTTTAGTCCTCAATCGAATAACTGAGCGTTTGCCCGGCGTCACAATTGATAAGGCTGCATTCAGGATTCCGCAGAACTTGCCTCTGGCAGACTCGGAGTTTCATCAATCCACTGATATAGACATACTGTTGGGCGCTGAAACATTTTGGAATACTCTATGCGTTGGGCAGATAAAGGAATCATTAGATCATCCGCTTCTGCAAAAAACATTATTCGGATGGGTGATTGGTGGCAAATATCCCAGTGGTTCTGTGCAACAGAAAACCATCCAATGCAACGTGGCCGTCGATATACTTAAATTAGAGCAACTTGTTGAAAGATTTTGGCAAGTCGAGCAAATATCAAGTAAGCCAATGCTGACTGAAGAAGAGAGAGAGTGCGAAGAAAACTTCAAGAAAACTTATCATCGAAATTCACAAGGTAGATTTGTGGTGCAACTGCCAATTAAAACGGACAAGTTACGAGCTTTAGGATCATCTTATGATGTAGCCTTGAAACGCTTCAAATCATTGGAACTCAAATTGGATCGTTGTCCAGAAATGAAGAAGGCATATACTAAATTCATCCAAGAATATGCGGATCTGAACCATATGCATCCAGTGGTCACTGAAGATTCAGGAGACGCTCCAGTCTATTACATGCCACATCATGCCGTGTACAAGGACTCAAGTTCCACCACAAGGTTTCGAGTTGTATTCGACGCATCATCTAGAACGGATACTGGTGTATCGCTTAACGACATCCTGATGGTGGGCTCGAATCTACAAACAGATTTGACTTCCATATTGATTAAATTCCGCTTATGGCAATACGTACTTACAGCCGATGTGGAGAAGATGTATCGGCAAGTTCAGATTGAAAAGAGTCAACAAGGACTTCAGAGGATTCTCTGGCGAAACAACAGCCATGAGGAAGTACAAACGTTTGAGCTGGCTACACTCACATACGGTACGGCTTCAGCTTCATTCTTGGCGGTGCGAGTGTTACAAGAAACAGCTAGATTGGAGCAGCACGAAATGCCAACAGGATCAGCTAGGATATTGTCCGACTTTTACGTGGACGACCTTTTGACAGGTGCAAATACTGTTTCAGATCTCATCATCATTCGCGATGAAACAAGAGCCATATTAAGCAAGGCGGGCTTTCATTTGCGTAAGTGGGCTTCCAATGAAGAAACCGTATTAGAAGGCATACCTGATTCAGCTTCAGAGCTCATTTTGGATGTCCAGGAAGATACGATCTTATCTGCGCTCGGATTACAATGGAATGCGAAGAACGATGAATTTCAATTCGGCATAAACACGAACAAGCAATCCAAGATCTCAAAGAGGATTATGCTATCCATCATATCTCGCATTTTTGATCCATTGGGTCTTCTAATTCCGATCACCATTACGGCAAGGATACTCATGCAAAAATTATGGCAATTGAAAACACATTGGGATGAAACAGTACCCATTGATATACAAACTCAATGGTCTCGTTACGAAGCGGAGCTTCACGAATTTAACAACCTCCAGATACCACGAAAGGTTATTCACCATCATGATGCCGATGTTTTAGAGTTGTGCGGATTCTCAGACGCCAGTGAGAAGGCTTATGGAGCCTGTGTGTACGTTCGTAGTAAACTGACAGAAGATACTTATCAAGCAAGATTATTGTGCGCGAGATCAAGAGTAGCATCGTTGAAAAATCTTACGTTACCGCGCTTAGAGCTATGTGCCGCAGTACTATTGGCTCAACTCATGCACAAGGTGTTAGAGATTTCCGACATTAAGTTTACACGAGTCCATTATTGGTCTGATTCTACCATAACCCTTTCTTGGATCAAATCATCTCCGAGAAGGTAGAACACATTTGTAGCTAATCGTGTCAGTTTGATTCAAGAGCTTTCTGATCCTAACGATTGGTATCATATGGAATCCGCTCAAAACCCGGCGGACATCCTCTCTAGAGGTACATCACCTTCATCACTAATCAATTCCAATCTGTGGTGGTGCGGCCCCACGTGGCTCTCGCAAGATGCAAACACATGGAGTGTCGAAAATGCTTTGGTTACTTCAGAGATACCTGAACAAAGAAGAATTATGACTGCCATAGCTGTCCAGCAGGATTCGGAGTTATTTGACAAATATTCTACATTCAACAAATTAATAAGAGTGCGTGGATACATTCTACGTTTCATTCGGGTATGTGAAGTTAGCACCCCAACTATAGTACTCAGGAGTTCTGAATAGAGTTCCCGTTTCTTTTTGACGAGACAAAGAGTTCTATATAATTTATAACAAGAGTTCCGCTTAATAAGTATTTTTAAACAATT